TCACGTCTTTTACTGTGCATGCGTGTCACATCAGTGCTGTGTAGCGTTCACACAGGGCTCTGATGCAGGTCACATTTAAAATGTAATGTGAACGTTCACATAAAAAGATCTGATTTTTTCAAAAAATCGGAACTGAGCATTAAGACCTGCAGTGTGAACGTAGCTTTTGTGTGTCATAATCTGGAGCTGCTACAAGAAGAAAAAAAGCCAAAAGATTTTTTCCACTGCTGTGCCTGGTTCTGATCAAGCATGGCAGATGAATGCCAACGTCAGTAAAATTAAAGAATTCGTAATATATATTTTTTGTGGGCATGGTAGTTTAGTGATGCTTTGCAAACATCAAATTTTTACATCTTTTTCAGGAAGTGCTTCAAGGCAAATAAACCCTGTGAGAGAAGAGTCTCACAGTGTGAACCTCAGCAAACCGGTTCAGGACCGTGTATCCTTCAGCCAGCAGATCACCATTCCAAAATCAGTAAGATCAGAGTTTAGATTCTTGTATCTTGTATTTTGTGTTTGCATTGAATATGGAAAAGTCMTTTAACCCCGCCCCCCTCCTTCTCTTCTCAGCTCCCGAAGAATCAAGCTGCTGTGGAATCTAGAATTCCTGAGCTGTGTGTTTTTTCTTCTAATCAGAAGGATGAACTTTGGCATAATGACGACCAAATACAGGACTCTGCTCTCTCCAGTTTACATCATCTCACATCCAGGCATGTGGCTGATGACGGGGGAATTCATGTGTACGTTCACCCTGAAGAAGATCTCAGCACGCAGGAGGAGGAAAGTGAAGAAGAGGTGATGCTTTAGCTTAACTAGATTCAGCATAATCTAAATTTGGAAACTGACTCTTTATCTTTATTTTTATTGTTGTTGTTGACACAATGCCTTTTAAAAAGCTACATGTACAATAAAATAAATCAAGTTTGTTGTGGTCCAGGTGGTGTTGAGTCCAGTTCCACATCCTGTGTCTCTTCCGTCGTCCAATCAAACCAAACAACAGGTAAGACATAAACAGTGCTAATAAAGGCTTTAGGAGCTCGCTGTAAAACATTTTCCTGTCACTCTTCTCATTAGAGGCTGCTCCCAGACCCGATCCTCAGATTGAGCAGAATCATTGGCTTTGGTGGAGCTACTACTAAGCATGTAGGCTCATTCTGCCATAAACCCTCACCGCACCAGCTTCAGTTTGTGTGGAGTGTTTATAGTAAWCTGTGTTGTTCTTCAGGTCCTGTGGACCAAATCCGGTGATGCAGTGGTGTATCCATGTCACGCAATTATTGTCTCAATGAAGATTTCCTCCAACAAACAGCGATTCTTCATCGGCCACACGGATAAGGTAAACCGTCTGATTTCTCTCGCTCTCCTTCCATTTTCGATCAAATTTTGTAATTCCTAAATTCATCTCTGGCACACATACTGCAGATGATGTGTAAATGTGGCCCATTCTGGCACAATGAGTTGGAATGAGCACAGGCTGTGGCACAAAAAAGTGAAAACAGTGATTTTTGTCTTAGATTTATGTTTAAAAAAATCCATAAAGAGCATCTAGCATTTACAGTAACTAAAACAGGATATAAACTTTCTAATCTACACTTAAATTGGGTAAGTCTTTGGAGAAAATCCTTTATCTCATAACCCTTGAAATTTTTTTTTTTCTCAATTTAAAGATATTTCTCTGCCRGCTTTCATAGTGCCGTGAAATTGCTTCACACATTCTTCTTATCCAAAATAGAGCTGGAAATCTCAACGACATCACTCCAGACTAATGGAAGTCATGTTTTCAAACAGTAAACTAAATAAACTTGCTGCCTGGTGATAAATCATCAACAAGCTCTTTTTTTAAAGCCTTTGAGATGTAGAATATGAAAATAATAATAACTCAGTGTTGAGAAATCCACATGTTGCCTGCTTAGTTCACACAGCTTTATTGAATTTTTTTCTGTAGATTTCTGCTCTGGCCTTTAACGGCAACACAACGCTGCTGGCTTCCGCACAAACTGGCAACTATGGTGTAGTTCGACTTTGGGACTACAGTACAGGAAATTGTCTGACAATGTTAAGGATTCATGCTCACTCCTTATCATGCCTGAGGTAACACACATTTGCTCGAATGTAAACATTTTTCCACTGGACAGTGAAGTGTGAGCTTGATTAACCCTGTTTTCTCAACCTAATTGTAGTTTTTTAAATCTTTTTTTTCACCCTGAAGCTTCTCATATGGTGGTGGTGTTCTCTGTGGAGTGGGTAAAGATAGCCACAATAAAACTGTAAGTTCCCCTTATTCAGAACGTTTTTCACTAACATCTCATTTAGAGCAACTCAGATGTTAATGAACGACTAGATACTACCTAAACTAACATTCTTATAACACGCACTCTTTACAGATGTTTCAGCTGGTTATATTCTAATTGCGTTTTATAGATGGTGGTGGTGTGGAGCACCATAAATGTTACCAAAGGTGGAGAGGTGACCATTTTAGCCAAAGCACACACAGATGTGGACATTAATACCATGAAGGTCGCCTTCTTTGACGACACGAGGTAAACAGCTCAATGTGTTTACAGCTAACAGTGAGTGTGTGAGTATCATCACAGCAGCAGAGTGAGGAAATGTGGTCAGTTTGAGCCTATAGCAGCAGAACTAACCCTGGATTTACACTACGTGCGACTCCACTGTGCTGCGCAGTTCGTAGCTGTTCGTTTGCCACCCAATTTATACAGCATCCGCTCCRGTGCGACACACAGAGGAGGAAGTGTTTGCAAGAAGGAGATTGCGCGATAGATCCAGTGATAAATGTGGAAGTCACAGCAAAAAATAATAAATTCTGTGAAAGACAAACTTCAAACACAGCTGAAACACAGGTATAAAAGTTTTTGATATCTACGGTTGAAACAGTATCGCTGTCGTCTTTTTGAAGCTTCTGATTTCAAAATAAAATCCACGTGTATCGTGTGTGTACACATGCTTCATCTACATGTGCTTACTAAACAGAACGATACATTCTGACAGCATTTGTGTAGAAATATATCCATGTATTTATAAATATAGCTGCAACTTCGACAAAATGATTCCACCTTATGGTGTCGTATGTTGAAAATACGGATGTTGTGCTCATTCCTCTTCCTATTGGTGCGACGTACTCTTCAAAAATTGACTCCAGAGCAGCTCCGGCGTCTGGCAGAAATAGGATCGGATTTAATTTTGAGGGATTGCCGTCCACTCACCGCTGCGTGCAGAGCCAGTGTAAACACTCTCATTGATTAGAATGGGTGCATATTTGCAGCGGAGGTCGGACCAGAGCAGAGCCGGACCACATGTAGTGTAAATTAGGCATAAGGGATAACTCAGGAAACCAACCCTAACTATAGGATTGATCAAAAAAAAAAAGTCTTAAACCTGCTCTTGTAGTAATACGTAATGTCAGCCTCACGGACAGAAACTGGAAGTTGGTTCCACAAGAGAGGAGCTTGATAACTGAAAGTTCTGCCTCCCGTTGTACTTTTAGAAAGTCGAGGAACCACAAGTAAACCTGCAGTCTGAGAGTGAAGCGGTCCGTTAGGAAAGTATGGAACAGTAAGATTCATCAGATGAAGACTGGTTGTTGGGAGCTTTGTATTTGAGAGCACTTTAATACTGTATATATTCTTGTTCATTTGAGTGGTAGTAGTAAAAGTTGTAAATGTTTGCTCTGCCTCTAACCTTCTAATTCTGTGTTATATTTTTGACTGCATTACATTTCACATTCTAAGCGAGCTTTATGGTGTTATTATAACCTGTGGTACATTTACTGCATATATTTCTTTCCAGACACTAATTATCCTCTCATTTCTCACACCACAGATACTGTATTGATGGGTCACCCTTTCACAAACTAGAACGTAAACGTTATTAGTAATAACTTGTAGCTGTGCAGGTTTTTCTGCTATCTATAAAGTGAGGAATGACATTTGTGGATTAATGACTTCTGGATGTCACATAAACAGAATATAACTCATAAATGGCAGTTTATTGTCACAACAAGGCAGCTTTGTAGTTCTTTGACAGTCCCATTTGGAACATTAAAGCGGAGTTAAAGAATGGATAGTTTTTCTACTAAAATAAATGCAAATGCGTTTAATACATATTTTGGTTCAATCCTTTTTCCTGTTTGTTTAAAACAAGGACAACGTGGTGAGAACAGCTGGGACTGTTGTTAACATAATTAGAAGGCAGTAAGAATAAGTTCCTGTGACTTTGCTGGCTTCAGGTTAGTCTCGTGTGGTCGTGAGAATATTCGTTTGTGGCGAGTGCGGAGCGGGACTCTACGCTCCTGTCCGGTCAACCTGGCTGAATACCACTCGCTGGATTTCACCGACGTGACCTTTGAAGAGGGAAGCTCCTCCGACAAGTATTATGACGATCGAACTCTGTAAGTGAACACATCAGCTCTGTCTGAATTTTCTCAGCTCCAAAAGAAAAATAGTTATAAACTTGTCTTATTTTGCTCTCTCTCTCTCTCTCTTTCTCTCTCTGTCTCTGTATTTATTCTCTGCTAGATATGCCAGCAGTCGAAGTGGTCATATTTTTGAGATTGACTATAGCAGAGTTGCTATAAAACATGTTAGGCGGTTGCTGCCTGCTCAGCAGCAACATGCAGAGCGCAGAGAGAAATGGACTTCTAACACAGGTAGGTTTATATTCAAACCAGATCATGTATGAGTTACTGAGTATTTTTAAAGTCAAGCATAGAAAGATATTTTTATAACATTCAAGGTCATGTGTGAGCACACTTTCATCTTAATATTCAGCTGTAGTTTTACTCCAAACATTGTTGGTATTTGATTAATTATAAAGTAACCACAAAGAATAAATACTTCACTCTAAAATATCTATGTTCTGTAGAGCAGTTGTATTTAAAGAAAGCTAGTGGGGTTTTCCTAGGTTCATTGTAATAACAGTTAGATTTCCCCGCTATTATTTAGTTTTATTTGTATGTTTCTGTTTCAGGTCCAGGCATTGCCATTAACAGCATCAGCGTGTCTTCATCCTTCTGTGCCACGGGTTCTGAAGATGGCTTCCTGCGTCTGTGGCCTCTTGATTTTTCTGCTGTCATTTTAGAGGCTGGTAGGCACAACGGGGTAGAATCAATTTTTTTTTACCTGGAAYAGACTTACAGTTGTTCATATTTCCACTCTAGGCAGTGATTTGTCAGGTTGCAAACTCAACTTGATCTGTTCTATTGTTACATTGACTGGTTACACATGAGGGCATAAGATTTATCTGGTCTTTAAAATGTTTAAAACTCTTTTATAATCTCAAGTGGACAACACTTGATAAGTTACTCTGTAGCATTACTTCTGCAGTTTTTTCCAAACAAAGCATACGTTTTTACACTGTTTTGTCAGGAAACTTGGCATTTAAACTGTTTGCTRAGGCATGTAGTGAGATGTAGCTTGGTCTGCAGTTTCTCTGTGCATTGAACAGTTTTTCAGACGTCCTCTCCTGAGAAACTTTGAATAGTTTCCACTCTGTAGAATGATGGAGCTCAGATTGTTGAAAATGACTCAATAACCCTTCAAACAGTGAAAGTCAGTTTTTATTGTTTTTCAAAGATGAATATAATTTACCTTTCCTCTCGTGGTGCAATAGTACGGAAGCGTATTGCTATCAGGCAGGGAAAAAAAAATTCCGAGCGCTATCACGTTAAAACGTGATACGTATCTCGTTAAAACGTGATACGTATCTCGTTGTGATACGTATCACGTTTTAACGAGATACGTATCACGTTTTAACGAGATACGATCACGTTAAAACGTGATACGTATCACGTTTTAACGAGATACGTATCACGTTTTAACGAGATACGTATCACGTTTTAACGAGATACGTA